TACCCCACCCCTAGACTAGCTACACTGCCCTGGCTCGGAGTTACCCTAGCTTTTTGGAAGAACTGCATCATGATGCCCCTCCCCCTAACTAGAATAGACCCCAAAAAAATTTCGATCTTGTTCGAAAACTTCTGAGTTTTGAACAGTCTCTACTTCGCAGTAGGACATCAATCATAGCCGCTACCTCCAAAAAAGTCACCTTACTCATACAAAACGACGAAAGGAAGAGCTAAGAAGGTTCAACCAGTGGAAAGAGGAACGAAAGAACAAATGGACCTATTTCCACATCGATCAGTAGAATAAGGTGATTAAGCAGACGGCGGGTGATTTGAACTGTTTTCTTTCGCGCCCGTCGCACGACGTTCGTTTGCGCCAGTCCGAATGTTGGCTACCGTCCATGTTTTGAAACTCGCGTTTTTCAAATCTACAATTCCGTCAACAAATTGTTTGTTTCGAATCATGCATCAGAGCTGTGAATCGCGTAACAGAGTTTGCGTTCTGTGATTCCGAAGTGTGATGGTTTCGAAGTTGAATCATAGCTCTTTTGTGAAAATTTGTGGTTGATGGCCTTGAGACTTCCTTTCTTGTAAGCTGTTGCATATATTTCGTTTCTATGTGTTTAATTGTGGCCATCTTCCAGAATGAGTAGAGATGATAGCTCCAATTCGAACAGTGATTCCGAGACTGATATCAAAGAATCGAAGAATGCCAACCATGCTGAAGAAGGCGGCGTGAAAAGGGAAAGGACCGAAGATCCAGGTGATTGTTTTTTTTTTGAACTCCAAAGGCTTTGCTTCTCTTCCATTGCTCCTAACGACCAAATCTGATAGAATCGAGATTGAGGCGGTTGCATGGAAAACATGATGTGGATATTTGCTTGCCGTGGGTCATACCACCACTCGTCGTGAAATTTATATGTGATGGAAGTGTTTACGCACTCCCACCATATAAATTCGAATGTATTTGAATCCTTTACCTCGCTGGAGAAGTGCTATCGTTGGAGCTGCTCTTGGCATTGCTTTTCTCGCGATAGCCACGGTGTAATTCTGTAGTAGGGAAAGCTTCTTCAACATTTTCGGATTTTAAGCGAATTGAAGATCGTGGGAGGCAGCATCAGCTCTCCGGTTTTGATGAGTGAGGTCACGGGGGACGAAACCTTTCAGCTCACTGGAAGGTGGGGGGAAGTGGTTGGTGTGGAGCACTTCTTCACACGCTTTCACCTGCTTAATGACATCATGTAGTCCACCCTCCAGCTTCGTGTTCACAGCCTTTAAGGAATAAATTGCTCCCTACTTCCGTCAGGGCCGATGTCATAGTTTGCGAATCGAGCGATTTGCTGGCGCATAGCTCTGGGATCCAGCGATTTCGCTAGCGAATCGCTCGATTCGCAAACTACGCGTCGGCGCTCAAGAACACGGGGGATCGATTCATGCTCGCCTTGATTATTATCCTGTCTGGGTGTTGGAGGACTGTTTCTCCCTACAGTTTTTGAAATATGTTCCGTTTCCATGGCACAAAACGTGGTTATTTTCTTCTCGCCTTACCACGGCCTCCTATGCACTTCTGACTCGTCGAGAAGTGCGCATTGCGGCTGAACTTTTCCATAGGAGAATTGGTCTTCACGCATAGCTTCTATTTAGCCGGACTCTTTCGGTGATATTTCTAAATGAGTTTCGGGGTTTTCTTATAGTCTTCACTTGTTGGATTGCACAGTTGCTGCAAATATCTTGCTCTCAAATCGCTGGTATGTAGTTCTGAGCGAATTTATATCATAGACTGTTTCCGGGTTGTTCCTTGATCTTTTCGGATTTACATCCATACATCGCAATTTCTGTTAGTTTTAATAGTCCAAGTACACTATCTGTTCCAGAGAAATCTCCATCACCTCCCGCGAAGAAACCTAAGGACGAAAGTAATGATATCAAGCCATCAAAAAAGTCGAAAGATGATGAAAAGGATAGCTCCTCTAAGTCGGAAAGTCGCAGTAAGCTCTTAGATTTTTTCTTTTGTTCTAAAATACTTTTTCTCCTTCATTGTTCTCCTCGTTTTGCTTTTCTAGAAAGCGCAAAAGCAAAAGAGAAGCGTGATGATGACAAGAAGAAGTCAAAATCGGATAAAGATAAGGAAAAGGAGCGCGAAAAAGACAAAAGGTCACGCAAGGAAAGATCGCGTTCCCGTTCGAGGTTAGTTTCGAGTTGTTTGTGCAAAATTTCAGCACATCTGTCAGCTTTCCGATTTATAGGTCACCAGATACAAAACGCCGGAGGAGCGATAAAGATAAGGGCAAGGGAAAGGATAGAAAGAAGGACAGTCACAGTGATCGCAAGGAAAAATCGAAGCGAGAGAAGGAGCAAGCGGAGGAGGATGAAAAGAGAAATGGAGATTTGGAAGAAGGCGAGGTTAGTGCCAACATTTAAGAACATCTTTGAGATTGCCAGAAAATCAATGATTATAACAAATACGTTTTAGGTTGTGGAACCAGCTCGACAACCGACTGCTAGGGAGCTTGAGCGTCTAAGGCTCATCGAACAATTGGCAAGCCATTCAACTGGATCACAAAAGATCGCGCATCTTACTTTCATGTGTTTCAGGCAAAAGAAGACGCCGAAGAAAATGGACCATCGTCGTCGGTGCGAAATGCTGAACCAGCGCATGACTCGCGAGCTTGTCCTTATTTGGACACGATTGACAGGTTTCCTTTCTTGACTTACAGTGTTTTTGACTACAAGGGGGGGGGGGGGCAACAAAGGCCTCTCCTTTTCCCAATTAAAAATTGAGGACTAATTTCCAGTCCACCGACCAGCCTCTTGTGACTGCTTCAGGCTGGAGCAGCTACGGTAGGCCTACTTACGCGCGACTACGATGCAGGGTGACTTAGCTTTTGAACGGTGATAATAAAAAACAAGGGCTTGATTCTGCTTATGGATGGTTTTAGGAACACTTTGGCCGTCAGATTTCTAACAAGAGCGCACCCTATATGGCAAAAAGCTTGCTAATGTGCGTATCAAAACTAAAGCTTTTCTTGATTACCCCTGTATGTCATGGACCAAGCGGGTTCACGCCATTATCACCGTAGTTCTTATGAAATATGCTTTTTCAGAAAAGTACTCGATTTTGACTTCGAGAAGCTGTGCTCTGTGTCACTTTCACACCTTAACGTTTACGCCTGCATGGTCTGTGGAAAATACTTCCAGGTAATTTGAGTGTTGTCATTTCATTTCGCAAGACATCTTATTATTAATTTTTTAATATAATGGATTGAAATTTTTCGTGAGAACTCTTTCAATTTTACTCCTGGCATTCAGGGACGTGGAACGAACACTCATGCCTACACACACTCACTGGACACTGATCACCGTGTATTTCTCAATCTCCATACACTCAAGTTCTACTGCCTTCCAGATAATTATGAAGTTGACGACCCTTCTCTTGAAGACATAAAAGTTTGTTTACGCCTAATCCTAGTTTGTTGTTAATTGTGTTTTTCTCCTTTTTTCATTCTTTGAAAGAAATCGTTGTCATCAACTTTTTTTGTAACTCTATATCCTGTAGTCAATCGTAAAAACTCATTCTTATGGCCATCCTCAAGTTCACTTTTTCACTTTCTTCTCGAAAATCTTGACGAAAGGATTTTCATGATCTTTCTTTTCCTTTTTCACCTCCGCTGATATCAAATTTTTCCACATCTTGATTCCAGTATGTGCTGAAGCCCACTTATACGAAAGAGCTGATCGCCAGCTTAGATCGTCAACATCGAATGGCCAGAGCATATGACGATCTAACCTATTTTCCTGGTGTTGTTGGTCTAAACAATATCAAAGCCAATGACTACACAAATGTGGTTCTGCACGTTAGTTTGTTCGTTCCGTAAGCTCATTCGACACTAAAAATCCATCAAAAAGTAAATCCTTCGCTCTCAGGCTTTTATCCGCATGTGACTCCATTGCGTGATTATTTTCTTCGCGAGGAAAACTACGAGAACATCAAAAGACCTCCAGGTGACAAACTCTCCCTCCTACCAAAACGGTTTGGAGAACTGATCAGGTTTGTATTTCGTGGACACCCCTCTTGGGCACTAATGGGATTGCTTTTGTTACAGTACTTTTAAGAAAGCTCTGGAATCCGAAAGCGTTCCGCACTCACGTTTCTCCCCATGAAATGCTTCAAGCGACGGTTTTATGTTCAAATAAGAAGTTCCAGTTTATAAAGCAAGGTACGGTTTTTGAAACTTATGGCCAGGGGTCATTGTCCATTGAACATTTTATCCAATTTTGAACAGAATCTTATTCTCTCAGTTTAAGGTGACGCGGCTGAATTCATGAGTTTCCTACTCAACACTTTGCATATTGCTCTTAATGGCACCCAGAAATCGTCATCTTCTATTATATACAGGTGCGACCGAATTGCAAACCCCTTCATTTTCTTCTCCCTTTCCGGTAATTTTTCTGTCATATTTAAGAATTTTCCGGCCGGTGACTTGCCTTGGCAGATTCACCGGCCGAGTGATTACAGCTTGAAGCCACTGATAAGAGCAAAGCAACAGTTGCTGCCACAGTATTCCAGAGTACAAACGGGGAGTTCATAGAATTAGAAATTTCAGATAATTTACCTTTATTAAGGATGACCGTGCCAAAATGCTTTCGGTACCCAGAGTTTGAGGCATAAGAATCTGGTGTAGCTTGTTAAAATAGCTGATTCATCAACCGTAGACGTATTCTAGAAAGTTCGAAGGAAATGCCGTTTCTCTACCTGGCGTTGGATCTTCCGCCGGCACCACTTTATCGCGATGAACAATGCAAAATATCATACCACAAGTGCCACTGTCAGTGCTTCTGCAGAAGTTCAATGGAACGACGGAAAAGGTAGATTTCGAATCAATACTGCACCACTTGTTGACTAATGAATATCAGTGACATGTTTTAGGAGTACAAGACTACAATGAAAACATTATGAAGAGATTTGAGCTACTTCGTCTTCCAGAATACCTTATTATCACGTATAAAAGATTCCAGAAAAATCAGTGGTTTGTTGAGAAGAACGCACCATTGTGAATTTTCAATTAGGTATGCACGGGGTTCTTTATCTTTTATGTATTCAAACATTTTTGTTTTCATTTTCGTTGTTTTCTCGTTAACATTTTTGCTTCTGACATATCGGCAACTGCTTATTATTGAGTGTAGTGAGGACTCCATTTCTAAGGCGATTGCTGGTAACGGGGCAGAGGTTTTGTCAAAATATTCCGGATGTTTCTTTACGTCGTTTTTCTTTCAAATTTGTGCTGCCAAAAAGCCTATAAACGCCAAGAGTTTTTGAATGATCCTCGCATGTATTTTTTTCTGAATTTATTGCTCTCGAAGATTCGTCCTATAATTTTAATCTTCTTCTCTTCGAAACGAATGCATAGAGCTATTGACGTAGCCTAACCTTATTTTCAGTAATGTCGATCTCTTTGATTGTCTCTCTGAGGACACACGCTTTGATCACAAATACACAACATACGACTTGGTTGCTAATATTGTGCATGACGGAAAACCTGATGCAGGCACCTATCGCATCCAGCTTGTTCACGTGGTACATATTCAACTTCTATGCGTTTTGATAACTTTTTCATATTTATGTGGCTCATTGTTTGAAAAGTTTTCGATTTGAGGGATCCCGGAAAATGCGTTCGAGCTGAGGATCTCCATGTGAAGGAAATTCTTCCTCAGATGATCGTGCTAGCCGAATCCTACATCCAGGTTAGGTTTTCTATGCAAACAATTGCTGAGGAGAACACGAGTGTGAAACTCGCTCACAGATACTATTTTTTGTTTGCCTCATTGCCTCTCGTTCAAGAATCTGAAAACAGTTGATCACGTTTATCTTTGCACTACCGTTCTTTGCACCTGGAGTCCTGAGAAACAGGGTGACAAACAAGAGACAACAAGAGAGCTGAAGATGGGTTCAAAGTTTACAATCAACGATACGTGCAAAACATTCAAGATTCCAAGGTTCAATGCCGCGTGCTGACCTCTCCGGCATATTCAACTCTTGTTCAGTAACACCATCACGCTTGGCACATCGTGCGCTTTGGTCCCGACTAAAATTCTGACTCTACGCGCGTGGCGTCCGGCTACGGCTCCATACCACTATGTAGAGCTGGCTGCAGTGCATTTGACGCTTTATTGCAAGTTCGACAGTCGTTTGAACGATTTCTCAGCAGTGGTGGTCACGAGTCAAGGCAAAAAGAATCATGGCGGCTGAGCATGTCTCATGAGATCGGCAAAAGTCTTTTACAAAGGTGCACACCCACGTTTGGATCTTCTCGTTCAGCTAACCGTGTTGCGTCGCCTTTTCTAAGACATTTCATTCCAATCATATTTAAATTTGAAAACAGAGCGTACTAAATTAACGGTGCAAGAGGTGGGTGGTAGTAAGTCCTGCCGCGGATCTGGCCCAAAAGGGGTTGGCCTACTAGGAGCAACTCTCATTCACTGTTTACACACGGTTGACCGCTCATGGTTGTGGGAGGATGAATGGTGCGACAAGATAAGCAAGGGAGACCTTGATCTTGATGCTTTTGATGTATGCTCATAGTGATGAGTTCGCATAGCGGCGTACAGAACTATATCTCGTAAATTCAGATATGGAAGCTGAACCGATTGAAGACGAGAGAAGAGCGCATGAGCGAAGGTATCGACGATGATAGCTCTGCATCCTAGATTTGCTGGATATCGAACGCTGACGATACGTTGTGATTTGTTGTTCTGTGGAGGTTGGAAGCCTCCAAGGAGCAATGTGATCTCTAGCGGTTCTTGAGCCTACACATTGTTAGCAATTGATGATGTGAGTTCTTGTAGCTTTTTGATTGCGGTATTTTCTAGTGACCGTGCTGTTATCTGGTTTTGTTCGGAATAAGCCGTTTAATCCTTTCTATTTTGTTGAGTTTGGATAGTAATGTTACAGTTTCCTTTTAATGTGAACATGAGCTGGTAAAAATTCTGTTATTTATTCGCAGTTGTAAGATAAACTTTATTGAACACGTTTTTAACGTTTCATATCATGACGAAGTCGGCGACCGTGTGTTGGGACGATTCCGTTTTGAGTCATATTTGTGAGTCGCACTCAGCTGTCGCACTCATTGTACCACCATCTGCTCGCCCGTATCGATCCAGCTGTCGGCTTTCTCTCCATTCTGCTGCTCTAGCTCTTCCAAGTTCATGGACGGAGCCGAGGACGTGAGTCCAACGGTGCAAATTAGCTTTGATTCGGAATTAATTTATTGAATGCTAGTGCAGATCATCATGCAAACGTCAATATTTAGAACGCTGTTCATGAAGCGCGTAGAACTGTTCATTGCACCCATTTTGCAGCCATTGAATGGAGTTTTTTCTGCTTGGCAGTGTTTGCATGAATAGTCTCTCCGCAATGTTACGAAACTACACCTTTTCTTGTTGCATTCTTCTGCACTTGATTTCCATTTATGGATGGAAAAGCCCCATTTGCTTTCCAATCGTATATTTTAATGTCATACATACGCAGCACCTTTGTCATGCGGGTTTACTCTCCATTAATGTCACCATTTAAATTGCAATACTTGCCATAGATAGTTTCTATTTCTATAAGTCTCGTGAGCCATTGCAATTTCCGTAAGTATCTATAATATAAGGATTCCTGCAGCCTTTCTGTCACAATTTTGCTTCATTCGTTCAATGCGCCAGTTACTTTTCTTGCTGGGTGGCCGTTTATCATTCGGCTGTAAGGTGAAAGAATGTCTTTCGTAAAAAAGGAGCATCATATTCCAGTGCGAATTTTGAGTGCCTGACACATGACGGTAATACTCTTTTGTCTCAATGCAGCTGCTTTTAAGAAGGAACAATATAAAGTGGATGGCTCCCCGATGTAAATATTTAGTTTTATGGGAAAGTTAGTAGTTGTAGGGTACCAAGCGATGTATGGCGCTAACCGCTGCAGCGATTTGAAAGGGTGGACTGATATTCAGTAACGCTTGGCGTTTGGGTTTCTCTTTGCCGAACTGGTAACAAGACCATTGATCATGCAAAATTATAGACTTCTGCTTGCACACATTAGAGTGAAGAATCGTTTTGGCAGATCCTTTCTTTCTCTTTATTTCCCTTTAGAAAAAGCGTCATGTAGCCACGATTCACAGCCACTTGCTCCAAGTTAATATTCTAGTCAGCTATTTGGGTATTGTGCTTCGCGCCGCGTCGAACACTCATTTTGTTGTTTTCGATTCTGGTTGACCTCTCTATTTTTCGTTTTCGTTGATACCCTTGTATTGTGATTCATCAAGCGGATCAAAAATTGCATGTCATTACTTTCTGATAACGATAATAGTCTGTCATAGTTTTGGTACACTATTAGCGTGGAGGCCCCCAGACAATACCTAACCATTTGGGCACGGCCGCGGCGAACGCGGCCGAGTTGATAGGTGCCCGCGAACTCGGCACGGCACAGTTCGCGGGCACCTCGTGTGTGTTTTCAACAGTTTGCAGGACAGTGACCTCGGCCGAGTGACTCGGCCCGCCTTCGCGCGCCGCGCCCAATATGCGTTAGGTATGTCTGCGGAGCTTAAGCGTGGAGGAGTTATTATCCTTGTTTTCACATTTTCAATTGAACGGTGGCGCTGGGCACCAGATTTCCCTCTCCTATTTGTTGGGTTGCACGGTTTTTCGAGGCTGCGACAACAATAGCGTACTAGTCCAAATGGGGCCGAATTCCTCTAACATGAAGAATTCTTCTTGTTTGAAATGTTTTTACCGCTAAATCAAAAATTTCGCTCTCGTTGCCGCAGTTACAGTACGCTGGACACCGAGTTTATCCTTGGTGACAGCGTCATGGAACCGGACCAGGGTCGACGGTCCATCAGCCTGTTTTTAGTCAGGCGATCGGATAGTATTTTGTGATTTTGAGTTGGGACGTTACTTTGCTTGATTTCGAGCAGACGCCATCATCATACACCCGGATGTTGAGTAACATGTAAGAAGCAAGCCCCATAAATTTTCGGATAACATGAATGCGTTGAATGCTTGACGCTTCCACGTGGACTATGTCCTGATTACTGTAAAAGTGTTGACGTGCTTAAGTATTTGTTTTTGTTCCGAAAATAATTCGAATCAGTACTCGGTGAACTGTTGGCGGCAGACGCTAATAAAAACATATTTGCACAGCATTTGTTGCGAGCTACGGAGGACGGTGGGGGTTACTGTAGCTTTAGGAATGTGCTCGCGAAGCTTTTCCGAAGGAAGGAACCCTTGGAACTCTAGGAACATTTCGATTTTCCTCTTTTGCTTATCGGTCGTCAAGGAAAAGCTGTGATAGGTGAACAATTTTCATCTTTTTTCCTACCTATAAATTCGTTCACCTTATTTTGGTTAAGCCTAGCCGTTCAGTTTTCCTCCTGAGGTCCAGGTTACCAGAGCTGCGCGGTGATTGAAGCCTAAGGTTAGGCTTTGGCTTGAGCTCAGGTTGAGGCTTATGATTACACACTGGCTTATGCTATAGCCTATGGTTAGGCTTAGGCTTAGTATTAAGATTATTACGAGCAAATCGGAGGTGTTCTTTTCTTTTCTTTCTGAAATTACCTGACCTCAGGAGGAGAACTGCAAAGTACTCCAACTTTACACATGGTTCAAAAAAATAACTCTTGCTCAGTGGCCCTAACCGCCCAGATTTCACCGTCAATCAGAAGTTGAGTGGAACTAACCTCCCCTACTTATTCTATCGCTGTTGTCAGTTTCATCATTGATTAATCCTTTCGTTCGTTACAGTACCCGGAGTAAAAGACCCGTGAAATGTCCCTTCAATAGCCGAATGGCGGTCATACGGTCATTAACCTCTCACTATGTGTTTTATTCGCTATGAAATGGTAGAGAACCTCTCGAGCGCTCCGAATCATTTCCAGATACCCCCCCCCCAACTCGTTTTTTGATATCACGCGATGAGATACTGTTTCTTCGGGAACTTCTCTATTTCATACCATCTTGTCGGTCATCCGCTCCTCCAACAAATAGTGGATGAAGGATGAAGCTTTCGGTGTTGATAAATTTTTTCGGGGTGCGCCACGTGTTTGTCTTCCTTCCAAAATCGTAGTGGCATTCGAATACGTTTGGGTACAATGGGTTACGGGACCAGCCAATGTACAAGGCAGTGCTTGATTGCTCAAATTTGTCTGAAGCCAGTTAACCGACCCAGGAGGATCGAAGGCTCGATGGCCTGGACAGACCGATGGCATACGGTCCAAGATTCTTTCCCTGGCAGTGCGCATGATAAGCGGCATCAACTGCTTACACCACTACCTTTCCTCTCACAGCAGCGTGGTCCGTTAAGCATGGAAGCAGCTTATTATCCTCGTGCGATTCTGGCGGGTTTTTCATCCCGATGATGTTGTTCCAAATATTCTCCAAAGCATATGCAGCCAATTCCTGTCAAAGTATTGAGACTTGAGAAAGCTACATTTCAGTTGGCGCCTAACATGGTAGGAAGAAGTGCTTGCTCTAAATTATTGATTCTTTGCTATTGAATTGATTCACTACTCTTCCGACATAGTGGAATCTATCTAGTCGCGTACACCGACGTAGACCTCCCATCATTTTGATGCTGACAAACTACTATGTTGAGATGCAGATCAAATAGCTTGTGATGTTAGTTATTTCCACAAGAGACGTTGTTCGGGCAATATGCGCATTTCAATCCCTCTGAGCTCCGTTACGAATACAAAGTCATGGCGCATTCCAAAGATACTGCTTAGCGTCCGAGGTTTATATTTCCTCTGTTGATAGAACTCCAGAGCAGTGTGCATAGTAGATAAAATAGCGTGGTGCAAAGGTTTTAGCAAAGGCTCCTCGGGCTTTATACGGTATCGGAAAAATGTTAATGACTCCATAAGGGTAGGCTTCATTACGCGGCCCCTGGGAAACTATAAAGGGGAATGGAGAGAAAATAGCTCGCGTTAACGGGAGTGGAATGTATAAATCAAGAAATGAATCATCGATGTTTATATTCCGGCGCGATGGCTCACATTTCCCATTTCAGTGGCAGGAACTCATCACGATATATGTTTTCGACTATAGGAAAATTGGTTACTTTTGTGTATTTCCCAATTAAATACGCGGAGACGGGTTTTGTGTGTTCGGGCTTCTGCGAACAAAGGGTATGGTGGCTTCATCATTTCAGTGGGGATAATGAGAGTACGCATTCGAATTCCATTCACGGTAGTGGGGGCGTATGTGTGCACATCGGCATATACCAGGCTATGGACCGGAAGACCGGCCGATATTTAATTCCGTTCAATTTGGCGCAAATGTTCCCCAAGGCAGGTCTGGTGTCAGTTAACCGACCCTTCAAAGGGTGTGGGAGTTCGCAAACCCAACTGGTTTCGGCTTTTCATAGGGCGATATAGCACCTCTTACCAGAGCACTGCCTCTTGAAGAATCTGCTTTTTTCTAGGTTGAAGTAACTTTTTATGGGCAGCCCTGAGAGTGGGACCTCGGCTAGTTTGGGCATACCAGTCTGCTTCTCCAGCAGGCGTTACTGTGCCCTCCCTCTTTCGTTCACATCTTATCCCTTCCACCTTATCCGCTTGTCTGTTAAAACTTGATTAAGGCTCTCTCTGTCACTCTGGAGCCGTACGGTATCCTTCATCCTGGGGTAGAAGAAAATATCATATAATTATTCTCGATTAAATTTCCCTCGTTTATCG